AACGTCTATATGCAAGTAGTTTCAGTAGTGATTTCTCAATGATCGTTGCAGACGTTTTAATTAAAACATGAAGAAAATTCGTTTATAGTCTGTACTCTAAAACCACAAAGGTTTTTGAATCTTATTTGTATGGTATGTTTTGTACTTCAAGTAAATATTCTATAGAAAATTGTAAGTGTTGCAATTTTAAATAATTTCTGAAATAGTGAAGGGATTGGATAAACAGTAAGTCATTCATTTATTATATTTAGTTGTAGCAAAATGATTTGTTACAGCTGTGAATGAAAACTGAACGACATACATAGAGGGTTAGCATAAGAATGTGTTTAATCCATAAAATCAATCATTATAACTAGTGAAACATGCGTTATATGTGTATATATACCTATAAAGTGAAACAGTAAGTTTCTATGTTAAAATATTCTATATTATTTAGAGATTTAAATAAGCGTCCTTTTCAGAACGAATTTATGATATATAATAATTACTTTTTTGTTTTGAATTTCGCGCAAAGCTACATAAGGGCTATCTGCGTTAGCGTTGTATTTGGTGTAGTATATAATGACGAAATTGACAAATAATGATTATTGCGCCTATTTTTTTTTTTTTGTAATAAACATACAAACATAAGCACGTTTTGCACATAGAAAGCGTTATGGCGGGAGACACTCAGATCACCTTGCTGTCAGTTCAGTATTTCCAAAAACAGTTTTCTTTAAATAGTGCTAAGTGGTTTCATAAGTGATTTAGTAGCTTTGTGCATTGCAAATTATTGTTTAGAGATACAGGTGATTATGCCACCCAAGAAACGCCCTTTCTATGGAAAGTCTTCTGCCACTAAAAGAATGCAAGCACAAAGAGCAGCTGAAACAGAAGAAGAACGCAATCAAAGACTTCAAACACAAGCTGCAAGACAGGCTGCTCAAATACAGGAAGAGACGTTGGCACAACGTAAAGTTAGACTTCCAGCTCAAGCTGAAAGGCAGGCTACTCAAAGACAGCAAGAAACTGTTGAACAGCACAAAGCCAGAGTTCAGTCAGAATCATCAAAGCAAGCTGGATATAGACAACAAGAAACTTCTGAACAACGTCAAACCAGACTTTAAGCACGAAAATTAAAACAAATAATTTACAGAGAGCAAGAAATTGATGAGCAACATGATGTATGACTTCAGGCTCAAAGAACAAGACAAGCTCAAACACGATATAATTTCAAATAAAGCTGAATAATTTGCTGAAAAAAATTCTGATCTATACATTTAAAATCTACATTTGCACCGTGCAACGCCGGGTAACTCAGCTAGTAATATATAAAACAAATTGTTAACCCAGTTTTCCTTCTGAGATTTATAAACACATTATGCGTAGTTTGTTTGTTACTAAGCACAAAGCTACACAATGATCTATCTGTGCTGTGCCACCGCGGGTATCGAAATCTGATTATTAGTATAATAAGCTTTTAAATTTACCGTTGAGCTACCGCAGGGAATATATTATGCATGGCATTGATACGGTAGCTTAACTACTAACTCATATGCTTGAAACTGTTTTACAGTGAATGCGGGGAAAATATTTGTGTGTTATTCCAAGTTAAGCCTATTTGCATTGTTCTCATCTTAACGGTAAGTCGATTCTAAACCTATTAACAGCTAAGAAAGTAACTAGATGTTCAAGCGTGGTTAACACGTACTATAACATGTTAATTAAATCCCTGGATGACGGAACATTACCATTGGTTGCAAATGGACGAATAATCACCGCCATAAAATAGCAAATAAAAACGTATATTTATTATTTATATAACTTCATTAAGTTATAAGATAAGCCTACAGAGCATCGAATTCGGTTACTTCTGGTGGAATTCTTGTCAGTCAATGAAATCAGAGCTTGGAATATTGAGCTAATGTTTCGACGATTTTGGTTTTTTGCTTGTTTCTTGTTCAGCATAAAGATACACAAGTGGGCTATCTGTGCCCTCCGCAGTTATGGAAATCCGATTTTTAGCGTATAAGCCCTTAGACTTACCGCTGAGCCACAAGGGGCATGTGTTTCGAAGAATTTTGTATGAAGTTAAGCACAAAGCAACACAAAGGGCTATCTGTGCTCTGCCCACCGCAGGTATCGAAACCCGGTTTCTAGCGTTGTAAGTCTGCAGACATACAATGTACCACTGGGAGGGGGGCATGTAATTATTAATAAGTGAAAACTCTGTTAGACGTAGTCTATTTGTGAAGTTAAACCTATCGGTGAACTTTGGTTACACTAAGCGTAAAACTTGAAGAGATAAATCTTCTTTTTATCATTATGTTGACTGGACTTTCCATTATTATTTGTTACATGTAATACAAAAGAAACCGGCTAACAATACACAGGTCAATAGTGACCCAACAACGCTAACCATATAAATATATAACAATGCAATTATTGTGTGTGTAATTCCTTAACATCACTCGTAAAGATTCTCACTATGACTATAATCACCAAAGTATAAGTACACCTGATCAAATCTTAAGTATATTATAGACTTACACTTATTTTTATATTCCGCTAGGAAACAATGAAAGTACAATATCTAACATTAAATTATAAGTGCAAAATATGATATGTGAAACAAAACTCCAGGACTGGGACTTGAACCCAGTACCTCTGACTAATAATACTAGTGCTCTACTTCTATTAGCCAGAGTTCCTGGACTTAAGTCCTGATCCGTTAGTTGTTGTTTTTTCCTTATCGGCTTTATCACTTGTAATTTAATGTTAAATATTGTCCTTTCATTGTTTTTTATCATTCGACAATTTTTTTATTTATATTCCTATTGATCTTTTAATGCTTATAACCACCTCCTAATGAATGATGTATTCCAGTTTCGAAAAGGCTCGTACTTCTACAATGGTTAACGGTTCGTTGCATATTTGAATTTTTTCTAAAGTTAAACAAAGGTTTCAAGGATAACAGTTATGCTTAGTAGTTCGTTTTAATTTAGCTTCAACGAGAGATAATGAACCGATGAGAGTGTATTATATTAGGTCAAGCTGATAATACTGCTCTCTTGTTTTTTTATGCAATCTTGAATCTGGCTTAAACTTTTATATAGTAGTATAGTATAGTAGTATATATATATATATATATATATAAACTTTTATATAGTAGTATAGTATAGTAGTATATATATATATATATATATGCGTATGCTTTTATAACCCTAAAAGAATTTGAAATATATGTAATAACACAATGATACAGCAACACTTTGAATGGATTTATTGGTTGAAACTAATATGGACTTTTCTATGATACGTTATCAAACAGAAATGATAAATAGGATATTTACTTCTAAATCTTTCTTTATCACGCTTTAAGGTTGTCACACTGACATAAAAATCATACGAACAAATATATTTAACTGCCAAATAGTGTTGAGTATTATTGAAACAGCCGAAATTAAACAAAAAACATTTTTCGTATCAACGTATTGGCTTCCAATTTTTTCTTTTGCTAATTTGACTTACTTCTTGAAACTCAATGAAACGCAAAATGTAATAATGTTCCTTGTAGAATAGTTTATATTTGTCAGGTTATATCAAACTCAATGAAGGTGCAGCTGATGTTATCAGGCTTTCAGTCTAATCTTGTTAGCTTTGACTATACTACGGTTATATTAAGCCTTCAGCTAAAACTTAGCCATTTCTCGTTGGAACAATAAAAGCTTTAGGGTTATCTAGATTGAATGGTTAACTGTTTAATTTGCTATAGATTAAGTTGATGCGAAACGTCTCACAATGATAAGACTATACAGCCAATGATTTTAGCAAATCTAATATGATACGTGAATGGAAAACAGATACGGAGAATTGTCGAGTAAGATAGTAAATCACATTAAAAAAGACATTTGGAACAAATGGATGAATAGGGTAAACGTCATTCATGTTTTTACAAATAATGTAAAAAAAATTCTAAAATCAAAAACTACAAAAACAATGACGCAAGAACCTTTGATAGTCATAAGCAAATATCAAACATGCTGCTACTTTTGAATAGTAGTAAATACGATTCATATAGTTACAAGGCCACAAAAACATATAAATATATAGAGTAAATGGCATAATGAAAGTTTTACAATAAACATTGTATGAATAGATGGATTTATCGTAAAACGGTGTATTACACGACTGGTGTATATAAAGTGGTGAAATAGAAGGCTGTTTACAAGAAATGGTGTATTACATGTCGGTATGCACTGAGGTGTATTACATGTCGGTATGCACTGAGGGGCACCTTAAAAATATACGATAAATAGTATATTACATATACTGAAGGATAAATCATAATGTTGTTATACAGTAAATGATATTATATTTGGGAATTTTACTTAAAGGTAAATTATAAGTTTTTATATGAAAATATAAAGCGAAAATAGGAAGTGGTCTTGACAACAACCCTGAAGCGTAAGTAGTTAACCTGATCATACTGATTCACACAATGATTGACTGATGTGGCTTGTTTTAGGATAAAGAGGGGAGAAACTGGGAAGTTATGGACGTCATAGTTGTACAAAGTGACACCAGAGGGCGGCGTAGGAGGGCAGAAACTGGGATGGATAGTTCCAAGTTGTGTTACTAGAATGTGTATTATTAGTAAAGTCAAAGTGTAGAATGATGAGGCCATCTATGTTGCGCGGGCGAACGTTTGTTACGTGGTTCGCGAGTGAACTACCAGAGGGTGTTGTAGCTTTCCATGCTCAACAGATATCAACATTTTTCAGCGTGTGATTATGTCATATTGAACATTTTTATGTTTTACATTGTGATTATTTGTATATCATACTTCTTCAATATTCATATACTACAGCCTATGTAGAGGCCTGTTTTCCGTAAATCACTCGAACTCTAGTTATTCATATCTATATATTACCTTCTTATTCTGGAAGTCAATGGCAATGGGGTCATGGATTGTGAATGTACTGAGTAATCTGTTTCATTGAGCAATCTTATTTCTGAAGAAAAAAAAAGGATCCTCAGTCACAGGAAAACAAGTTGTTCAGTCTGAAATAAATTCAACATCAGATGTCATCCAAGGAAAACCTTTTGTTCGGGATGGAAAACAACGAGAAGTGCAAAGAGCTCAGAAAGTGGTTCTAGACGCCAATCAGTTTGAGAAACAGGCTGTTCAACCTAATAAAAAGAAGAGATCTAAAGGTCCCGTATTCAGAATCGCTCAAACCAAGAGACGAAAAACATCAACTCCAGACATTTTGTAGAAGTAATCATGACTCTCCTTTCACAGGAAAATAGTGTCAGTTTACAAAGTCTCAGCTAGACCTTTTTTTTCTCCCTCCCAGACAGACGTGATTGAGAAGAGTCAGTGGACTAAACACCATTCTTTTTCTTCAATGGTTGACAGAGGACAAATTTTCTATATCAGTTTCAGGGGGTGAATAGTTAGGTGCAGCATAGATCAAATGGAACTGATACAAAAAGAAGATATCTCTGCTACTGCCAACCTGTTTCTTCATTCTCTATTTCAGGTTGCACACCTGGACGACAAGCTCATTTCTTCGTCTTAACCTTTATTCTTTTAGAGTATATATAGAAACTTTGTTGAGCTATAGTATAGAAGCTAAAAAAAAAGTCATTTGACTTTGTCTATGTGGATAAAGGATGCAACTGATAGTTTTTATGATCTCAACTTACACAGTCACATGATTGGCCGCCTACATTCGGACATCTTTTTGCAGAACAAATTATTTTTCAATGGAGTAAAGTTAAAACTCTATCTGCTACAAAGTATAGATACGTTTTATATTATGTCCAATAATGAACTGGGATTCAAGGTTGTTCTACTACACGTTTCTTTCTATGCTAGAAAAGTCAAGGCCAGCCCGTCCATCATTCTGGCACGTGATAAATCATTTCAGAAAAGAAAGGTTAAATATCCTTTGTAATACATGTAGTGTGGAAGGCATTTTCAAATTCATAGGAAAACTTACAAGTATCTATCAATAATGCATTTTGGGGTCAAGTACCTACATGTTTTGTTACAAGATGTGCTGAGAACGATACATTTGATGGATCTTGGAATAAAAATTCGTACAATTTCAAGCATTACAATATCAATTTCATGACAATCAATGTGAATGGAAAACATATTCATGCTCGGCTTTTACAACCTAATTTTGATGTTGATCTATACAGAAGAATTATAAAACCTTACTTATTAGAACAGGAAAATAGTTTCAAAATCTAAGAATTCATATCCGTTATAGGGATTACTTGAGAGGATATGCATTCTTTCTTTACTGCCTGATATCCAATCTAGCTGCTGGATAGTGAAACTTTAACTTAGTGAAACAGGAAAATTTACGAAACTAGGATACATTTTAATAGGGCATTACCCATACTATGAATATCCTCGGGTATGTAGAATTTTAGTCCATTTAGAAATTAATCAGTCCAGATAAATCTTAACTAGTATTTACAAAACCATATGAACACTACAGAAATTTATTCGATACTCTCAAAAGATTTGTGTACATGAGATAAACTCGGATGTGTGTTTGCCAGTGACCAACAACCTCACCATGTAGTAATCAGGATCCAAATTATCAACCAGATCTGTATTTACTTTGGTCAAGATTAAAAGGGAGAATATTTTCAATCGTATGGACGACCTCTCCATAACCTCAACATAAGAAGATCCATCATAAGAAAGGTCAAACGTGGACTTTCAACAGAAAAATACTGCAAGGATCTTATTTGTTTGTGTGTGGACAATATTGTATTAATTATGTGTGTTATTACTGTTGACATATGTTGAAATGAAATCTGTTAACTAAGTTTAGGTTCGATAAAGATAGTAATGATATGGTTGTTCATAAATTTTTTTCAAAATACTTTCATGTGTAAACACCCTTAACAGATATGTCTTTTATTGTAGATCAATGGCCAGATCTTTATTGTAAGAAACAATAAAAACAACAAAATTGAAATAATCTGTCTAATCTTTTTTGATAATAACAATAACTATTTGGAGATTTTATTTAATTTCAACATCTTCAAATGCAGGACACTTACTCAGTACATTTGACCAGTCTTATATAAAGTCTTTCCGTAGAGTACTCGGAAAGGGTCCTCATTAGATACTGTGTTACTCTTGTAAAATGCGTAAAAACAAACTTTAATTGTGTAATTACACACAAATATAACAGCATGTTAAGTATTCTTGAAATGTGGCATGAATGTGACTCATGTGTATCACAAGACAACGCCACTGACCTTTCAGTATCAATATTGCTCAGTGCTTCTGGACTTCGCCCTCGACTCTTCACTGTGATATTTTTGCCATAACCAATGTCATTTGAAGAAAGTCTTTATATACGGATAGTTTAGTAAAAGTGATTTTTTTATAACGTAAATTTAAATGATATACAGAAAATCACAGAAGTTGTGTGGATGCTATGACAAAATGGTAAGTATTGCTATTTCTCTTAGTTTCTGTCACTTAAAATTTAAGAATATTATAGATTTTTTCATATACATTCGTTTAGAAAACCGTATGTAAAATTGTTATTACAGTTAGTTATGCGTGATATTTATGTAGTTTGTTTGTTTGTTCGTTTTAGAGCAGAGTCACATTGGGCTATCTGCTGAGTCCACCATAGGAAATCAAACTCCGAATTTTGGTGTTGTAAGTCTGTAAAATCACCGCTATCTCACTCACCGGAGGACTATATTTATGTAGGCTTAACTTGAACATTCTATCTATAAAGAGACACTAAACAGTCTTTCTCAGGACTACATAGATTGTAAGTGTACAAATATGAATATCCAGAATTTGAATGTTTTATAAAAAACAGGTCTGTACACATCTTGTAGTACATGAATAGTCATGAAGTATGATATATATCATACCAATAATGATATAATAAAACATAAAAATGTTTAATATGACGTAATTGCATGTTGTGACACATTGACATCTGTTGAGCATAAAAATTTGCAACACTCTGGTGGTACGTTCGCGAACTACGTAAAAAACGTCTGCTCTCGTACATCATAGATGACCTCATCATTCTACCCTTTAGTCCTCTAGCACCACAGTTTGGAACTATCTGCCCCTTAACACACTAACTACCCTCCGATGCCACTTTGTGTAAGTACGGGATGACGTGACCACTTGGACTCTCCTTCTATATCCCCTGAGACAATCACCATGATATAATAAGTCACGTGACCACATCATCTAATCGCGTGTGAATCAGTATAGTCAATTTAGCTACTAGTTTAGTTTGCATTAAAAAGGCCCCGATGCAAGGCTTTCTTGTGTAAAGCACATCATTCCTTCCTATGGCATTTCATAATCCATTTCAACAGTCCATTCACAAAAAAACTGCATCTAGTGACCTGACCACTATGTCTTCTTATGAATTAACATAAATTCCCATTTCATTCTCCAGCTGCTTGAAGTATGCAACAGTTAAATGGATATGTCATGAAAACAATTTGTGTGTACACATGATTTGTGTCACTTTTCCAGGTAGTGATACTTCTTGATATTGTTTAGGACTGTTGCCTAAAGCACATGGACAACTTTTGTCACCTGATGCAAGACGGCGCATTTTGCTTACCATGGCTGGGGTACAAATTTTTGCAAGTCTCTTTCTGGTTAGTCTTGATACCTCAAGTTGATTCATGCTCCTTCGTTTTCCAAAAACATTAATTACAAGGGATATTCCCGTCTTAATAATTCTGCATCCATAATCTGAACACATCCTTAGGATTTGAGTGTATTCACATTTTGATTGGAAAAGGACTGCTATATACCCTTCCCAAAAGCGATCAATTATTGTTGTCATTTTACTACCTCTTAAACGTCAAATAATGTCAAAAAGTAGTTCTGATACATGTTTTTCCATCGCAAATATATATATGGGCTGTGTTTATCACATAACTTGCTGGTTGTAATTCAAATTCACTTTAATATAACATTCTCAACCTTCTGTAGTATATCATTAAACTGGTTTGTAGTAAATATCATACTGTAAGATGAAATATAGAAAAATGTATATCATAAGATGAGTATAAAGTGAACGAAGTAAACAGAGTGAGGATAGAGCATTAAGAATGAAAAAGGAAGGAACAACTAGCATGGAAACTGAGAGAATAAATAAGCTAGAAAAAGTAATGATAGGAAACATTACACTATTTAACGTAGTTTTCTTAAAATTTAGTAACTAGTAGAAATTAACTGCACTGCGGAAAGGGCATACAGAGTGTTTGAAAGAATTAGTGAACACGTTCAGTTTTAGTATTACTGAAGATTTGAATTTAGAGACACAAGAGAAAAAATAAAATTAATAGATTATTTTAAAAGTACTAACATTTCACTTCAACAAGGACTATTCTCAGCAAAAACAGTATGACATATCAATAGCAAATCCAAAAATAACTTAAAATAAGACTTTACAGAAACTCTAAAATGGGACAAAAACAAACAAACAGAGATTTAGAAAAAGATAATGCTGGAGCTTTTAAAAACGAAAGCAAATGTTGAAATGAGTTGTGAAAAACCCGGTAAGGTTCTGAGTTATAACAACTCAACACACTGATTGCCCCCTGATACCACTTTGTGTAAGTAAGGGGTCACGTGATCCCTTTGACTCTCCTTAATTATCGCCTGAAATAATCACCATGACATAATAGGTCACGTGACCACACCAGCCAATGTCATGTGAATCAGTATAGTTTGAACCATGGGCCATTCGATCTACAGCCAGGCAAGATAACCACTAGACTATGCCAGGCCATGGAATAGCCTACAAAGATATTTTATGTATTACTTCATAAAATGTTTGGACATACTCTGTCACATGGGATGATATTTGTGAACATACAGATTTTCAAGGTATTAAATAAAAGAATCAATATCTTGTATGCGAAAGCTATCTAGGAATCAATAAAATGAGAGTTTATTCGATTGTAAGTGGAAAATGTTGAAGATTTCTGCTTTCAGTTGGGTATTAAATGTTGTGTAAAACTTTAAAAAATGCAAAAGTACAGATAGTTAAAGCACGTTATGAGGTGTTGAAAGTTTCAGGTAAAAATGACAAAGTTAAGTTTGGGTTTTGGAATTGCATGGATAGTGAACGATGTAAGAAATTCAGGTAAAAATGACAAAGTTAAGTTTGGTTTTTGGAATTGCATGGATAGTGAACGATGTAAGAAGTTTGGAAATGTTTATCAAAGGTTAACAGATACACTC